ATGGTGAGCCAGCCCTGTGATGGCAGCAATTGTCACCATCTAATACCCAAGACTAAAATCTGCTTTCTCACTGACAGCCCTCACTTTTCCTTTCAGCTTCAACTGATGTTTGGAAGGGAATATTGGTAACTGGAGAAATCTTGAGAGCTTCTGCCGTCACAGACCTGAGTGATTCTCCCCTAATGTTAGCCTCTCTTCCTAGACTGCCGTGGAAACGTGGACTCCAGTGAGGCTACTGCGACAGGCCCGCTGGAAGAGACAGATGGCTCAATTGCCCCCTGTGGCATTTCTGGTGAATGCAGTTGCTAGATAAGAAGCCAGTGGTGACATCCAGCTGGTGAGCTAGTTTCTCTGTTTTCCCGCATCCAAAGATCCCCAAAAGGTTCTTAGTGGGCCACAGAAATCGACCAGCAGTAAGCAGACACTGGCATGCAGCGGGCAATATCCAGCTCTACCTATTTTAAATTTATAAACTGGATTCTAATTGATCTGCAGGGAGTTTCCATGGAAATTGGAGATATTCCTTTGCAATAGTGTGTGATTAGAACATCGAGTCGACAAGAAGACTGAAAAATCCCTTTTCTTTTAAGAATCAGCTGGTATCATCTCACTCTGAAATTGTCCCTGACTCCTTCAGGCAGATCCCAGATGTTTCTACTTCCATTATTATATTTCCAGTATGTAGTTGTCAGTGCACATACTAGGTCCTACAGACAGGGGAGAGACTGTCATTTTATCTGTTTTTTTTTTTTTTTTCTCCCAGAATACAGCTCAGTTCTTGACATAGAAGAAACTTAATAAAAAATTCTTAGATTATTATAGTGATATCTTAGAACTTTGGTTTCTTCATCTGTAAGATGGCATAATACTAATTCAATTGGCCATTCTGAAGATTAAATCCCCAAACAAATGCCCAGCATGTAAATAACATGTAGTTTCTTTCCCCACTTTCTTGGTATGGGAAGGTTATTTGTTTCTGGTTTTAATAGATAACGATCAGAACATATTTTTTTTTAAATAGCAAATGAACCAGAATGTTGCACACTTGTGGTTTGAATTTTGTGTTATAGTTTTATTGGGTTTCTGGAGTACGCCAGCATTTTGTATCCTATAAGCATGGTGGACATTATAGCATCTCCAGCCCAAATTCCTGGGTGTCGAACCTTCTTTCTCATTGCTCACTTGGCTAGATATACACCATAAATACATGAAATTTCTGAAACATTCAGACCTGATTCTATTACAGACATCCCTGAAATAAACTTGGAGAATGAATAAGTAACTATAATCAGTGATGATTAAAATGTGTGGCCCTGTTTGTTGATTCTGGAGAGAATTTTACCTTTATTGGCCCAGAGCAAATCTTGGTCTTACCTGAAACCCCTCTTGAGGTGTCTTAACTCTTTTTTGTTGCTTTATTTTTATGAAAATGTACCTATAGAGTGACTTTTCAAGGAGGTATAGAGTGCGATGATGGATTTGCAGGGCCACCATGGGACTGTTTGGCAGGAACTTGCTCACTGAGCAGCCTAATTCCAACCCAAGCCAGGGTGCGTCTCTCCCACCAGCTCTGCATTTGCCTCTCCCACATACACTCACACCACTGCGTGCCCTGCAGGTCGGGCCTTGCAGCTGCCCTGTGCTCGCCATACCTGGCGCTGGACCTATAATAGGCAAAGTAGAGGCCGAGAGGAGAGGGGGACACAGTGCCACCCCAGTCGCCATCTGAAGGTACTCAGAGGCCTGCTCCTCCCTGCCCTGTGGTGAGCATAGCACCTGGCAAGGGGCTGGGCTCTCCCACCCCAAACCCCACTCCGGCCCCTCACCCCTCAGCCTTGGTGCTCGGGTTCTGCAGTTTTTCCATGGTCTCCTCTCTTAACTGTGTGAAACCTACGTTTTTCTGGAGTGAGTGAGGAACTGCCTTCTCTATTTTTCATGCTTTTAATTCCAGTTGAACTCCTGACTTCTGATAGAGTATTTTCACTGGAATTGCATCTTTGGAGGGCAGAGAGTCCCTGTCTCCTGCCCTGTTGCCCCACCTGCCCTCTGCTGGCCGTCGGTGGGTACTGTGGCCAACTCGGAAAGGCCCCTTTTCACTCTTAGCACATGACAGGAGCTGTCTGTTTTCTAATTCTCATGCTTTCTTATGCTTCTTTTTAAAAGCTTGGTCAACACATTGTTTCAGAGTTTTGCAAAGCAAGACTGAAACCCCCGTCCCCTCCGTGTCCCCAGCAACCATCTCACGGACCTGCCATAGAGCATCGCCTACTGCCCCTGCGCTGGCCAGGCTCTTGGGTGAGCAGATCCTCAGTGACTGAAATAGGACATTGCTGACACGGTTATGGAGTGCCGTTTGGAGTGTATAGGTGTGGGGTTTGTAAACTAAAGGACTTTAGAGCAGCATTTCTCAGCGTCGGCACCATTGACGTTTGGGGCCAGATAATTCTTGGTTGGGGGGGTTTCTGCTGCACATGGCAGGGTGTTTGGTAGCACCCCTAGACTCTGCTCTCCAGACGCTGGGAGTGCCTCCCCCAAGCTTGTTGTCCTCCCTGACAACCAAACTGTGTTCTTCAGATACTGCTGAGTGTCCTCAGTAGTAGAGGGCCAAAATCACTCACCGTCGAGAACCATAGCGTTAGGGTGATGGAGCAGAAGGCCTTCTCTATGCGGAAGGACTTCTAAGTGCCCAGAGGCGTACTTTCTGGGGCCATCTGATGCTTTGAAGGACACCCTGATTTTTTTGGAGATTGATACTCAGCTGCTGAATACGCTGGCGGGAAGAGGGGTGGTCTCACCAAGCGCCCTTCTCATAATCGCTCAGCGACTCCTGTGTTCTGCAGCCTGCCACACTCTAGCTCCCATTTACGTCAGGCCTGAGTTCCAACTGCGAGCCTTTCTGGGCCTTACTCCTCAGCCCTGGCCTGCCCCCTTCCCTCTCTCACCACCCACCCCTGCCCATCTGGGCAGGAGCGTGTCCGTCCTGCTTCCCCGGACCTCTCTGGCACCTGCTTTATTTCTTCCACTGATTTGTTAAGTCTCTGGTCTGAAGGCACGCGCCTCCTTTTCGACATCACTGTGGGCTCCTACCCAGAATTTCCTTCCATTACAATCACCGATTGTGATCAATCCTCTCTCTCCTAGGTCTCAGGAAAGAGAGAGAGAAGTTGAGCACGTGGAGCTGAGGGGGCATCTTTACCCAGAAGTCAGGCTCCAGCTGCATCTAGACGCCCCTCTGTCCCCCACGGCACCCCGGACTTGCTGCTGCAGAGCACGTGCCACCCGTAGCAAGACCTTCCATCTCTTGTCCAGCTTCCTGAGGGGACTGTGAGCTCCTTGAATGCGGTCACCATGCTTTTTGCATCCTTCTCATCTCCAGTGTTCGGGAGAGAAGAGCTCACAGTGCGTGGGGTACGGTCAGTAAGGATGATTGAACGCCTCGGGGGGAAATGCCTTCACTTAAATTCAGGGGAAATAGATTTTCTTGAACCTTAAGAAAACTGGGGACAAGAGACTTTTGAGCTTCTTATATGTGTTTCTCCCCAAGAAGCATAGCTCTGCCTTGATTTGTCCAGAACTGGACGTTCAGCCTGTGGGGTTTACTAGACTCTCGGACTGGGCCGCTCCTGGCCCATTTCTGATCCGCTGCATTTCACGGTGGCACGAAGCCCCCTCCTCCCCTGTCCCAGCTGCTGTGCCCTGCTGACGCGCCCCAGCAAGGATGCTGCAGACTAGTGACAAGCCCTCACAGACACCTTTTCCTCACTTGTGACTAATGGTATATTGATGGTGTCCCTTAGACAGCTGTCTAAATATAAAGCTGCATGAGCTAAGAGAATAAATTGCAAATATCAGTCTTTTTGTGTAATGGTTTCCTAATATGATCTGGGAGCCGGCCGGAAGAATCGGACAAGCTTTTTGTCCTACAGTGATTTTGTATTTGCAAAATCACCGTGGTTGTCAGCTTGGATTAATATTCACCTCTGTGTATCACCACTCATTTTATTAATCTTCCCCAGGATTATTAACAAACTCCAGATCTGTGATTTCACAGGTGAGGAAGCGGAGGTTTAGAGAGGGTTGGCAACTTGCCTGAGGCTACAGGGTGCCAGCACAGTCACGCTGAAAGCGGGAGGCATAGCCGTTACTAACTAGTTCCCTCCCCGAGAAGTGCTGCCGCTCTGGGGTCAGCTTGGGGACATGTGCCTCACCTTTGCACACCCATCAGACAAAGTGAGCCACCTGGTAGCCAGCCGGGCCTGGGCACTTGGCAAGAAGCAAGCTTTTGAAATGAAGAGGGAGCCTCTCATTTTCCTGACACCTGTCACATCTCCTGCTGAAGGGAGAGGCCCCTAGCTGCCCGGCTTGTCCGCTGGGACATGTCACAGTCTAGAGGCATATGAGAGGCAAACAGCTCGCTTGTCACCTGCCTTTCACTCGACAGAGAGACAGCCCCCAAACCGCGCGTAGCCGCGTCCCATGTTAATTAGGAGAGCGTGTGTAGCTTCTCTAAGCCGGAGGGGGAGGGAAGATCCCAGGTAAGAGGAGGTTCGGTCCAGGTTTAGAGGCAGGTTCTCGAATGAGTCAATACGATAACCAAGCCTGCCCGGTCTCGGCCTCCCGCCCACCGGCGGAGTTGTCACCGGTAGCCCACTGGGCGGGTGCTGTCACCTGCGGCCCGCGGCCCCCCGTGGTGTTGTCACCTGCGGCCCCGGGTGGTGTTGTCACCTGCGGCCCGGCCCGCTGGAAGAAGCTCCCGGGCCGCTGCCCCCAGCCTCTGCCCCGCGGCCCTGGGGACTGGGGGCGGGTTGGGGACGCCGGGGGGCGGCGGACAGGCCTCCGCGGAGATCGATTTCAAGGCAGAGGTTGAACTCATTCTGCCTCCTTTGGGAAGAAACAATAACTCGGTCCTGTCGCCCAACAGGAACCTGGGATGAGCCGAGGGAACCCGGAGCGCGCCCCGCCGCGGAGGGCGAGGGCGCATGCGCAGAGCGGCGGCGCCGCCACCTGGAAGTGCTGCGGGCGGTGACTGTCACCACCTCTGACCCCAGCCCCGTCCCTGCTGCATCCTCCCTCTCCGACTGGGCTTTCTGTGAGTGTCCATGAGAAGAACTTAGCAGGGGCAGAAGTCAGAAGACCTAATTGTCGCCTGTCCCCGTACTAGTGTGTGGCCTTACGTTCCTTAACCACGCTGAGCCTCTGAGTCCTCGTTACAGTGACAATACTGACGCACATCTCACCCATGAGGCAGGTCCAGTGAGACAGGATTATCGTACAGAAAAGCAGGCTCCACAGACAGGGGTGCTGATAACTTTATATTCAGCTTTGTCAGGTATACCCTTAAAATCTCAAGCAAAAGTTGAGAGCTACAGAATCCGTTGGGGACCCAAAGTACCAAGATCATCCATAATTATCCTAATTATGAGGATTTGCCGCCCTCTTGTATCACTCTGCCCTGTCGGGTGGAGCGACTGGGCTGGGCCAGCCGGTCACTCCAGCAGACCTTCAGTAAGTGCCTGCAGTGTTTTTACTGCCAGGCTGGACCTTATGGAGGACACAAGGACAGACTGAACACAACTCCTGTCCCTAGAGAATGAACAGTGGAGAAACAAGAAAAGAGGACGGGAGGAGGAAATAGACCCTCGAGTCCAGTAGTTTTCAACCTTCCAGAAGCGCCATATCCTCTTGGGCAGCTCACAGTCTAGAAAGCACATTTTACATTAATCTGCAGCTCTGTGTCTTGAACACCACTCTTTATCTCCTTAATAGAGTTGAGGCAAAAGTACATGCCTCAGACTTATTTTTGAGTCAAGGGACCTCCTACCTTTTTGCAAAAAGAGAGGCTCTCTGTGGATCCCATTTCTTTACATCTTGAAGTCGAGTAGAACAAGTCCTTTCTCTTCCTTGGGCCTAACTGCTGGTGACAGCCATTCAACTCTCCTCACCAGGCCCGTTTCCACCTCCTTAAGTCCATGACCTGCAACACATGGCGGGGTGCTTTCCCCATTCTCCCTCCAAGGTAGCCTGGAAGTTCTCTATCCCTATTAAAAGACTTTGGCCTGCAGAAAGCTAAACCAACACAAGATTTACGTAACAGTTCAAGGCGATGGAGGATTGGTCACAAGGCAGTTCATGATTAATTACCAAATGAACTGCAGGGACAGCATCGTTGCTATAGGAGTTGAGCCTCCTCTGGTCCTTCTCGGAAATAAGCAAAGCTTGCTTTGCAAACAGCAGAAATGAACAAGCTGGCTGGGAGGAAAAAGATCAGAGTGGACAGAAGAAATCTAAGGAATTCATTCCTGTGACAAACTGTGACCAACTGTACATATAGGAAAAACTGGGCCATAAAAGGATATTGCCATTTTAATGAGTCAAAGGCTTTTAAATATTGATCAGTTCATATGGTTCAACTTAAATATTTGGTGCAGGCTGGTACACATTTGTATGCTTACTTGAGAATTAATGTTGCTTTTTATTTTAATTTGAAGATAAATCTAGAGCATCCTCTTGATATCTTATTTGGCCATTTGTACTGATAACTAGCATTTATAGAATCCTTACCATGTACTTTATACTCTAGATAACTTATCTCATTTCAAATTCATAATTATGAATCAGATATTTTTAATTTTTATTTTATATAGGACATAGGCTCAAAAGGATAAGTATCTTGCCCAAAGTTATGCAGATGGTAAGTGATGGAGTTGAGACTGGGACCTAAACCCAAGGCTCCTCTGGTTCCAGAGTCCACACTTCTCATCATTCTGCCTCATTGCTCGAACCTCAGCCGCTTGGTCAGCTTTCCTATTTATAATTGATGTCCAAGAAATACTTATTGAACCAAACTAAATATACCTTCAAAGGTTCAGTCACTACCTCTTCATCCAAAACATGTGACTCTCACACAGGTACACCCATCATTCCTGCATCTCAACCACCACTTTTTCCTTTCTCTTACCCAGTCACCAGGTATCTCTGAACTGCATTTTCTCTTCCATTAAATAAGTGTTTACTAAACATCTACTTGTGAAAGGCCCTGTTCTGGGGGCTCTTTCTGCTTGCCATGTCGTTAGCTTATATCAGCACCTACCGTGTGCCTGCTTCTGTACCTTGAAGAAACGGAGATGAATAAATGACGTCTCCTGCTTTCCATGAACTCAGAGTCAAGCAGAGGAAATAAACCACAAACTTAAGCAAGTCCCTGTCTAACACGGTGGACTGAAACAAAATAATAGAGGACTAGATGAGGAGTGCAAGTTAAGGTACAGGGAGAAGTGGTTCGGTCAATAAGAGTCCAGGGAACTCACAGAGGGAGTTAAGCTTGGCAGCCCTGGAACCCCAGGACACGGTTCCAGACATGTCGTAGGCTTTCAGGACATTTTTATAAACAGAAGCACATTGACTAAACTGAAAATATCAGAAGGATAAAGAGGCATTTTTAAGATGGACATTAGGAAAACCTTCCAAGCAGACAAAATGGAAAAATCACGGAAGTATGAAACAATATGGTAGACTGAGGAACTCAGGAGATTAATATGATCATAGCGTAAATGTGGAGGGGGCATGACATGAAATGTGGCTGCAGAGTTTGTGCTTCTCCGTGGATTTTCCTCTCTTCTAGGCAGTGGGGAGTCTTGAAGGAGATGAAATAGAAGATAAGAGGATCAGATTTGCTGGATGTGTGGCAGGTACGTGTGACAGAGCAAAGGAGGCCGAAGGAGATGAATGTGCTGAGTGAGATCACTCCTTGCCCATCCAGAGCCTGGGGACAGGATCAGAGGGGGTGGCGAGGGGCAGAAATGCACGCCCTGCAGGGGACTAGGAAGGAGAAGCATTCTTCAGGGCCACCAGCCTGACCTGCCATGCCTGGTTTTCTTTATTTCTTTACTTAGGTACTTAAATTTATAGCCCACTTTCTAAATTTGAGATGGTTTACATAAAATAAACATATAATGAATTTATTAAAATAGAAATAGATTTTTAAAATATATATCTATAGCAAGAGAGAGAAATCAATATTCTACAGCCATAGCCTAGGCCAGTATCACTACAGCTACTGAGCATTAAGTTTGGTTCTGAGCTTCTCAACAGCCAAAAAAAACCAGTTCAGCACAGAGTGATTTAGTTCTCATTATTTTTTGAGAGAGACAACCTTTTCCCTGCTACTAAATTCTAAAAGAAATTTTCGAAATTGGACCTTATTCAAGGTGCTAACTTCAATACTCTACCTCTATCATTTTATCCAGGTCTGTCCCCAGAATATCTCCCCCGAGAGTTCTTGCCTGGCTGCCGTTTCTAAAACAGCACTCGCTGTCAAGAGCTAAAGGAAATACAAGCTTTGATTCCACGCTTACCTGGACTCACTTTCTCATGATTACATTTTAAGATTATATCCTCAGTTCTTGTCAGAAATGGGTATGAGCAATAGCACATGAAGAATCCTTTCCATTTTCTGGAAAACTGGTGTCAAAGACATTGTCCATTGTTTATTCGACAAAGACTTACTGGGGGCCCGCTCTGAGCAGACGCTGTCCAGGAAAAGACTAGACAGCAGAGAACCAGACAGACAAAGTTCTGGCCCCTAGAAGCCTATATTTTTGTGGGAGGACAAACAACACATAAACAAAAAAAATATGCCAGGTAGTGATAGGTGCTGGGAAGAAAAACAAAGCAGGGTCGGGGGGAGCGTGTGCTATTTTAGATGGCTTATGCAGAAAGTTTTTACGTGGCTCAACTTTCATCTCACGCCTTTTTATCTGGCTACCTCACCTTTTCCTTAGCAACACAACACAGAATAAACATTACAGAACCAAATACCTTTCACCAAGTTGACCGCTAGAGATGGCAGGAAAATGTTCTGCTACTATTTGAGGGTAGAGGTCTATGCCAAACTGTTCGTAGCAAAAATAACAGCCCACGTCAGCCGGGTCATTTCAATGGTAAAGCTAATTTGAACCTAAGCTAATGAACCCAAGCTCTTTCTGATCTCCCTTCCAGGTGCCAGAATGGCTGCCAGTAGGCAGCACTTACACAGGCCAAGCCTTCGACGTGCATCAGCTCATGGACTGAGGGTACTGGTAACCACGTGCTATGGACTGAATTATGCCCCTCCTGAATTTGCATGTTGAGGCCCCAACCGCCAATGTGATGGTATTTGGAGATAGGGCCTTTGGGAGGTAATTAGTTTTAGATGAGGCCATGAGAGTAGCATCCTCCTGATGGGACTAATGCCTTATAAGATGCCAGAGAGCTTGCTCTCCCCTTTCTCTCTGTTTCCACCGTGTGAGGGCACAGTGAGAATGCAGCGTCTACAAGCCAGGAAGGGCCCTCACTAGAACCCAACCATGCCGGTACTTTGATCTGGGACTTCCAGACTTCCGAACTGTAAGAAAATTAATTTCTGTTGTTGAAGTCACATAGTCTGTGGCATTTTGTTATGGCAGCTCAAGCAGACTTGTTCTGGACACCACACGAGAAAAGAGGCAGTGGAGTTTATGGTTAGGAAGCTGGGCTCTGCAGCCAGACTGCCTCGTTCTGCACACTGACCCCAAGAATTCCTAGCCGGGTAATCTTGTGGCAAGTTGTTAAACCTCTCTGAGATTGATCTCCTTGTCTGTAAAATGGGAGTATTAATAGTAAACACCTCATAGGGTTTTTGTAAGGATTAAACTAGTTAATACATGTATGACATTGGAACACGTCTGACATATAACGCTCAATAGTGATTATTATTATTATATCTCTAATTTATGGAGGAGGATATGGAAGCTCTGAGAGTCTAGGTCATTTGCCCAAGGTCATACAGCTAGTGGGTGGCAGATTCAGAATTTTAATCTAGGTTTCTCTGACTCCAATACCTGTTCTGCTCCTTCTACGAATGTCTCTGTCACCTTAATATAATTTAAAATAATGTTTCCTATGAGAGATCTAAATCCAAACAACAATAGAAAAACAGGAGCACTCATGAGAAACTGGGATCATACCTTATACTGGTGAATTGATCGATCAGTGATACTGTATTTATCAGCTGCTACTGCACCCAAGGTCTTCCGCTCCATAAGCAGTGGTAACTCCAAGCAAATGGATTTTCTCTTTGCCTGGTTATTCACTTCACTCCTTCAAACTGAACTGTGGGGAATTCACAAAAACAGATGAAATGATCCTGTTCTCAGTCTGGGGTAAGGAAGGGCAGAAAACAAACAAGTGACAAATCAGAAGGGCATATGATCAGGCGCTCAAGGCAGTGGTCAGGACAGAAATTAGCCAGGAGTTCTCTAAAGCAAAGATTTTGAATTTAAGACCTAAGGAGTGAAAGTGTCTTGAATAAAGTTACCTGCTAAGACATTACAAATTCAGGGAATATTTTGGAGGTAAGCTTTTATGTGGTGGCTCTGTGTTTGTTAAATATTTTTTTTAATCCATTGGTGTTTTTATAAGAAGAAATCTGAACTTGACCTTCATGCTGAAAAGGATTTCCACTTTGGTTCAACAAGTCAGGGTTCAGTCAAGAGATGGAAACCACACGTGTTATTTTAACGGTAAATTTAATACAAAGAACTGTTAACTAGATAACTCGGTAACTAAAACTGTAAAAAGAGAACTCTGCAGTTTCTTGGAAGTAGCAACTTCAGGAAGCAGCTCTGAGGAGGGCGTGCTGGCCCATGCTGGTGTCTCTTTGGGGGACATAATGAGGCTGGTTCTGCAAAGACCAGGGAAATTGCAGACTGGATTCGGCCGCTGACGCAGGAAGGCAAAGAACATTGCTAGATGATGCTCACAGGATTAGGAGGTAGACCAGGAGCCAGAAAGAAGCACGTCAGTTCTTTCTCCTCCAGTCTTGCAGCCTCCTTCTAGCACTCCCTTTGGCAGAGGCTGACACGGAACCGGTAGGGAATACGAATATAAATACAACACAAGGATGAATGTGGCTTCATCCTTCATCATTAGCCTAAAAGACAAGACAGGCTTGTAAACCAGAAAGCATGATAGGTACATGTGACAACGGCAGGCTGTGCAGACTTGAGGGCAGCAGTGAATTAGAAATGATTCTTCTTAAGGGAGCAGACAGGAAAGACTTCATAGAAAACTCTTGAGTTGGGCCTTCAAAGCTGAGCTATGTTGGCCAGGTAGACTCAGTCACTGGGGAGAACATTCCAGACAGGAGGAGCAGCCGGGACAAAGATGCAAGAAGCAAGGAGCAGGGTGCATTCAGAGAGTGTGAAAATAATTTGGCCTGGATGGACCTTGGGGGATGATAAATGGAGGATATGGAAAGAGTGAAGGTTTGTAAGGTAAGCGGGAAGACTTTTCTATGACAAGTAAATTTTTGGATCCCTATCCTGGAAACAGGGAAACATTTCAATTAGGGGGTAATGTGAACAGAACCATGTTTTTGAAGGATAATTCCTGATTTGTTATGGAGAATCGTTTCCAAGAGAGCAAAGGAGGACAGTCAGGAGACCGTTACACTACTCCAGCCCAGCCATGGTAAGAGTCTGACACATAGCAGTGGCAGTGGGGAGGGGACAGCGGGGAGGGGACAGTCTGAGAAAGAAGAGAAGTGGGAACTGGAGTGAGGAAGAAAGACAGGAGTCTAAGTTTTTGGGCTTCAGTCACTGGCTGGATGCTGATGTCATTCTCCAGGGAGGGGGGTTGGCAGGGGCTTGGTCTGTGGGTGAGGGGAGGAATAAAAAGGACAGAGAATGACTTAAGCTTTGGACACCGGCTTGAACATTTCAAGTGATGAGAATATTATTGCCTTAAAAGGCGACTGAATTGATGCTGATCTCATCTTTCATAGGATTCCACAGTCTGGATGACATCAGTTACTACCTTCTTAAAGAGGTGCTGCTCATCAAGAAGATGGGAACCATTCAGCGATTCTAAGAAAGAGCTCAGGATCTTTGACACTTATGGAGGATGTAGTCATCATTTACCACACTGTCATCTTCCCCCTTCTGTCCACATGGCAATGCTGACGCCTGTGTTGGCAATATGACAGATGACAATAAAGATCGACATGGGAACAGCTTTATTTTGGTGCTTAGTGACTAATTTCTTACTGTAATTTCTGACCTGAAATCTCCTCCTAAGAAGATGCCCATAAAATTCTCTTAAAAATATTCTATAATGCGCCTGACGTGAATTCAAATCTCAGATGATGATGTTACTGCTGTTCGTAACTTCTTGGGAAGGACTGCTGTTGCATTTCAGTCAGCTACGGGCTGCTGTCATGAGCAGAGCCTACATTTTCCTGTTTTTCACACCTTCTGCCTTGAGGTAACAAGTATACACATGGTAAGTAATAGAAAACCAGAATGATAATAGAAATTGTTCTTTTTAGGGATTTTTAGAAAACCTCCTTGGCACTTTGCCTTCTTTTTGTTTCGTTCAAATCATCTTCCTTTACATATAACATGGTTGCTTAGAAGGAAGAGATGAGGAAATAGTTTGTGGGCATGCAAGGAGTTTATGGGTGTCCCAGGATCAATGGGGGGCCCCTCTCTGTCTTTTCCATCTACCTCTCTGACGTGCTTTCACACACATTCTCACCCACCCAACCATCCAGCACTGCTCTCTCTGCAAAGCCCAGCTCAAAAGCACAATCTCTCTCCCTCCCCAGCTACCCAAGCCCCAGTCCTCTGAGATCCTGCAACATCAGATGTTACTCCATAGTGTTGTATTGAGCTTGATCTACCATCCTTCTTCTTCTTTTCTTTTTTCAGCAATTATGGGGTACAGATTTTAGGTGTTCAATAAATGCCCTTTCCCCCCTCCGCCCGCACCAAGTCTGAGTCTCCAGCATGACCATCCCCAGATGGTGCACAATCTCACTCATATGTATGTATATGACACCCTCCCCCTCCCCCTGCCCAATACCCTATTGACTGTAGTACCTATGTGACACTTAGGTGCTACTCAGTTAATTACCAGTTGCTGAGGGGGGGGGGGGGTGAATAATGTGGTGCTTGCTTTTCCATGTCCTGGGATATCCTCACACTGTAGTATGTTCCAGCTCTATACCAAGGAAAATATAAAGTCATATCACCACTGTTTTTTTAGAGCGAATGTACTCATGGTCAAAGACAAAAAATAAACATACATACACAGTTTATTAATCCATTCTTGATTGATGGAAACTGGCTGTTTCCATCAGCGCCTGCAATTATGCAATTGTGGCTGTTAACATTCGAGTGCAGGTGTCTTTGTGTAGAGGCAATGGAGGTCTTTTTGGTAGTATGCGCCAGCAATGGATTGCTTGAGCTCAAATGTAGATTCACGCCTTGTATCAGCGTTAAGGTATCTTCCAGTGTTCTTCCACGAGAGGTGAATACTAGTTTGCAGTCCCACCAGCATGTAGGAGTGTTCCTCCTCCCGCATCCACACCAGCATTTTACTTGGAGACTTTTGACTAAAGCCATTCTCACTGAGTTAAGTGATCAGTCTCATTGTGGTTGATTTTAGTTCCTTGTATGATAGAGATATGACATCCTAGGATAGTGGTCACTCTAAGAGTCCCATGTGCCTATGAGAAGAATCGTAGATGCAGTGGATTTTGGTAGAATGTTCTGTAAATGTCATCAGACTCAATTGTTCTAGAGTTTGTTTAAGTCCATTATCATCTTTATAATTCGTTGGCCAGGATCCTGTCTTGTGCTGTTCAGTGGGCTTGAAATCTCTGGTGATTTAGGAGTTGCTATAATCCATTTGCTTAGTCCATTAGTTTGCTTTATGAATCTGGGTCCCCTAAGTTGGTGCATACATATTAAAATGTTATCTTCTTGTTGAAGTGTGCCTTCACCCATATATACCATGACTCTTCTGTCTTCACTACTTTTGTTGCTTTAAAAACTAAATAATCTGATATTAGAACTGCCCCACCAGCCTTCTGTTGCGGCTTCCATTGCTTGGAATAGATCGCTCACTTTCTATTTAAGCATATCATCCTTGCCAGTAGATGTTTCCGAG